GAGAGAGAGAGAGAGAGAGAGAGAGAGAGAGAGAGAGAGAGAGAGAGAGAAAGAGAGAGAGAGAGAGAGAGATTGAGAGAGTTCCTTCAGGTTGATTTCTGTAAAGCTCGAATGAGCAGAGCAGCATTTTTTTAAGTTTCATTGAGAAAGAATTCATACTGTACAATCCATCCACATGACTCATCCAACTCCAAGGCTTTCACAATCCTGGCGGGGTTGACAAGCCATCTTTGCGCTTGGTGTTTAGGGAGGATGTGATAGAGCGGAGCCGGAGTGGGGGTGGCAGGGGTGGGTGTACAGAAATCCCTCCCCTTTGCAGAGGTAAAGATCTCTTCCAAAGTTAACCTGCAGAACTTTCTTCCTGGGGTCCTTCTTGGCCTTTATTCCAAATGACTGCCCTGCACCTTCCTCAGGCCTGGAAAGAATGACCTCTAAAAGCACACAGATTCCCACAGAGCCTCTGAGCCTCGTGCAAAGTGCCAGAAGGGACCTAAGTGTACAGAGATGGTGGCCCATCAGGGCCCCTGGCAATGGAAACTTCTGCCGGGGACTATCCAGGGCTCCTGCTTTGGAATTTCCTGCTACAACACAGAGGAAGTTATAAGACCCTGCTGTGGTTTAGCTGATCCAGTGAGCAAATGTATGTTGATTATTCTGCTAAGTACAAAGGCAATGTACAATCCAGAAAAACACAGGAAAAGTACATGTGAGATGAGCTCCTGGTGGAGGCTAGACACTAAAGCAAGCACACTTCTAGGACCGGCTTGAGAAACCCACCGAAGGGAGAGGACACAAGCTGCCTCTAGGTGAGGGGCAGCTCTGTCACGTAAGGGACAGTTCCTACCACGATCACCACCGTATTCCAACATCAACACGAGCTGAGCGGCCGGCCCCACCCTCCTCTTAGGCAATGTGACCTAGTAAGAGTTAGCCTGTGAGTCTCCATAGAATTACCAAACTACACTGGAAATATTTTCTTCATCTTTTATCTGCAGGATCAATGATTGCTCTCTGAGAACTCGACAATATGAATTTCTTAGTTTTACATTAAATTTAAGTGCTAGAATTAATTTCACTATTTATGGCCCACTATATGCAAAGGTATTTTACTGGAAATTCTACAGATTTCAAAAACTTCATTTGAAAGATGCCATTTGTCAAATAAGCCTTGGTAAGAAAATTAAGGTCACCATAAATGCCAGCATGCACATGCGCGCGCGCGCGCGCGCGCGCGCGCGCACACACGCACACACACACACACACACACACACACACACACACACACACACACACACACGGGCAGGACCAGGAAACCCTTAAGACTAATGCAGCAAGGCAGAGGCGTCAGGGTGGGGAGCGCGAGGCACACACGAAGAATGACCTGAGAAATGAACAAGTTCACTATCACAAAATCAAGAAGCACCCAACCTTCACCAGTACAAATGGCTCCAGAGGGAACAACCAAGCTGGAAGTTACAGGACCTTTTAGGGAAGATTTGTTTTCACTACTTTTAATTATGTGCATGTGTATGCAAGTGTGTGCTGGTGCCCAAGGTAGCCCGAGGCATCAGATCCCCTTGGGTCCCCTAGAGCTGGAGTTACAGGTGGTTGCTAGTCCCCATCCCCCGTGCCCCAGCCCCCCCCCTCCCCGGCACGCAATGGGTGCTGACCCACCTCCTCTAGGTACTCTCGGCCACTGAGCCCAGCTCCAGCTCCTGCCATAGCACCGTCAGTCACCAAGTTCAATCCACACTCAAGGAGAGAATTCTACTTCTTAGAAAAAGTGTAAAACAATCTGAGGACATATTCTTTAAAGTACTATAATCATTATAAAATGTCTTTCTTATTTCTGGTAACATTTTTTTTTTTATTCTGAATCTACTTTCTCTACATTTATAAAGTCATCGATGTTTCTTTCTGACACTTGGGTCCGGCCCCCCACCCCACGCCGGCTCCCTGAGCCATCGACAGCTAGTGTATTTCCTGGTGTGGGTGGGTTCAGGTCTAGCACCTTGCTATTTATTTTCTTTCTTCTCAGAAGGAACAACAAAATTGTCTTTTGTTTATTTTTTCTTCTCTTTTTGGACTGAGTATTTTATTTTTCTATTTGCATATCAGTTATTTTATTATGCTTACAATATACATTTTAATTTAAATTTTTTATTTTATTTGTGCATGTATGTGCATGTGCATATACAGTTGCATTTGTGAGTGAATGCCATGTATCTACGGATATCCAGAGGCACCAGAAAAGGGTACTGGATCCCTAAGTAGCTGGAGTTAGAGGAAGTTGAAAGCCATTTGATATGGATGCTGGGAAGTGAACCCAGGGCCTCTGTAAGAGCAGGAAGCATTCAACCACTGAGTGGCCTTTCCAGCCTCACACATTTTAAACTGAGGATATAACCTTCAAAGAACACCAAGACCACTCTGGATACATTTGAGATTGTTCCTGGTCTACTGGTTCCATATATTTTATTTCCATGTAATTTCTAAATACCATAATACAATGCTATTATATTTGTTTTAACTATTTTAAGATTTATATTTGTGTGTGCGTGTGTGCGTGCGTGCGTGCGTGTGTGCGTGTGTGTGTGTGTGTGTGTGTGTGTGTGTACACAAGTGCATGTGCGGCTATGTGCAAGTGAAAGTCAAGTGCACAAAGGCAAAGGCCTTAGACCCCCTGGAGCTGAGTTATGGAGGAGTGTGAGCTGCCTGATGTGGTGCAGGGCACAGAACTCAGATCCCTTCTCGAGCAGAAGGCACCCTTAACCACTGAGACATCCCTCCAGTGCTGTGTTCTAGAATGGAGTCTTTCACATTTATTTAGATATTCACCGCTTCCGGTGCTATTATTCTTTGTCTGCGTCTAAGTTTCCATCTGGGCTCTTGTTTCAACTTGAGGACTTCCTTCATCCTTCCTGATGTGCAGGTCTGCTGCTCACTCAGCTCTTGGTGTTGAAACGGCACGGTGTATCTTCATTTCCGAGGGCTTTCACCTCATCTGTGGTTTCCCGAGGGCTTTCCTCCAACACCTTGAACACGTACTTCTGCTGTCTTAATTCTACAGTCTTCGGCCTCACGGTTCCTGATAGGGAGTATTAACTCTCTAGATAAAACTTTTTATGCTTTTTATTTGACATTTCTGTCAATATCATGGTCTTTTACTTTTCTTTTTTTAAAGCAGATGTGGTTACAATGTAGTTTTGTGTCATTCTCTTTCGGTTCACAGAGCTTCTGATTTTCATCAAATTTGAGTACTTCGAGTCTCATTTTATTCCATTTATGTTTGCCCTTAGACTGTGTCCTGGGTCACTTTATAAGATTCTCTGTCCATTTCTTTTACAGCCATGTTCCCCCAAGTACCACACTGGCAAGTCCACAGATCTTCCGCTACAGTTTCTCGTCTGCTGTGATGCCCAGTCAGTGATGTTTTCATTTCAGATGCTGTTTTCCAGCTTTAGAAAGTCTGGTTTAAATGTGCTTATGTGTTCATGTCTTTATCTTAAACCCTTGATCACACTGATATCATATCGGTCCTGCTAGCTAGTCACTTCCAGGCCTCTTTACAGCGATCTCTCCCCTCTCTCTCTCTCTCTCTCTCTCTCTCTCTCTCTCTCTCTCTCTCTCTCTCACTTTCTCTGTGTATTTATATCCATAGACATAGATTTTTTATATTTATATCCACAGACAATTGCCACTCTCAACTGAATCAGAGAAGTCTCTCTTCCCAATAAACTGTTAATGAATGCAGACTCATAGCTGCACAGAGTGCTGAGAATAAATCATGGATGGGTACTCAGTCCTAAACCAAGCATTTGTTACATCCCCACCAAAGTTCAAGGAAAATTGTGGGGGGAGGGGGAGCACGGGGGGGGGGGGGCAGGGAGGCAGGTAGAGAGAAAGTCTGTAAATGTTATCTTTTGGAAATACACAGCCATTGCAGTCATTAACGCAACAACTAGAGGTGTGGTGGGTCTGTAAAACACGGTGTCCACGAACAGACTGCTGAGCATGGGGAGGCCAGGCAGAGCAGCACAGGCCTCTAATCCCAGCACTAAGAAGGCAGAGGCCAGTCTGGTCTACATAGCAAGCTCTAGACCAGCCAAGTCAAACTGTATCTACAAACAAACCCCCCAAAATAAATACAGAGAATGGAGGACGGACTCGGGGGGCACTACCCCTCACTGCTGAACTATTTCCTACAGGAGATTCAGGCAAAGGGGGGTCACCGCCTTAGCTGCTGTGCCCAATGGCAGCCACACTGGGCTGGAATCCAGGGTTACACTAAAAGGGTCCGGAAACAAAACCACAAGTCACAAATCTGGGAAAGGAACCTCCAGGGAGGAAAGGAAGCTGGCAGTGAGGGGGAGGGAAGTGAGGGTTGGGAGGAGAGAATGACCAGAATGCCTGTCATACAGGTATGAAATTATCAAAGAACAATCATTTTTTTTTTTTAAGTTGACCAACATTTTAAGTCACCTGCAAATTAACTTGATCTTTTCCAACTTGTTCTTAAGTTCTGTCAGAATCTAGATGAGGGCTTCTCAACGTTGGTTCTACTGACATCTGAGGCCACACCATTCCTGGGGCGACTGTGGAATGCAGCTGTTCCACAGCATTCCTGGCTTCAATCCCACATGGCGGCAGCAACTCCCAGTTGTGACAATACAGAATGTCTCCAGATATTGCCAAATGTCCCCTGGAGTCTCTCCTAGTTCTCTGCCCAGCATGCAGAGTCCAGTTAACAGAGCAGGACTGGCCCTAATAAAAACTCTAGCACCAAGGCTCTGAGAAGCTTCACTAGTAGTCAACATTTCATACATACCCATCATCACAACTTGTTGCTAAGGAAATGAAGTGTTCTGCATCCTGTATGATGTCACTGGGAGGGGATTCTTAGAATCTTGTGCTCCTGACTTCACTCCACATGCCTCTTCCCTTTGCTGATTTTTTTTTTTTGGGGGGGGGGGCTTTGTGTCCTTCCACTGGATTACATCGTAGCCCTAAGTGTGATTGTATGTTAGGTCCTGTGAGTTCTCCCAGGATATGACCAAACTCGGGGGTGCTCTGGGACCCACCCACACACTGGCCATACAAGTTTAACTGAAGGTACACCCAGCTTGGGGTTCTCCTGACTTAAGGGACCCTATGTAGATATGTGGGGCTCTTATTCTGCATGGTTCTGTCCTCTCTGGCATCTGCCCTCACACACACCAAGCTCTTTAGCTTCACTGACCCCTACACCTCTTTCTTCAGCTCAGGCACACTATAGATGGGTCATGCTTTAGCAGAACCAATGGTGACCTCAGGACTCACTCTGTCAGACATTAGGCCCACGCTGCTGGTGTCTAGTATATGAAACAGTCCTTTCATGCATTTCTGTCCAGTTTGCTAGTTATCTGAGGTATTTACTCAATGGTGATGGGCAAAAAATCCTCACTGTAACGTATTTTAGGGCCAGTGTGGAAGGCTCAGTAGGTGGACACTCGCCACACACACCTGAGTGTGACCCCAGAGGCCAACTTGAAGGTGGAGAGACCAGACTCTATAAAGCTGCCCTTCACATACATACCATGAAACATTAGCATATATGTAGAATAATACAATTTTAAAAGATTTGTTTTTAATCATGTGTGTGTATGAGGGGGGCATGTACACATGTGTGCTGGCACCCACAGAGGACAGGTGTCGGATCTCCTGGAGCTGGAGTTGCAGGTGGTTGTAAGCTACCTGATGTGGGTACTGGGATTTAAACCTGGGTCCTCTGCTGTAGACGAATTTCTACACGGTCTTATTAAATAAAAAATAATCATGGAGCCAGATATAGGGGTGAAAGCCTGAGAGAGATCAGAGGAATCGGAACAGCCACAGCCAACCTCACCTCACTGATACCTCAGCTTCCAAATGCAAGTGACTTCCTGTCTACCCACGCCTATGGGCCTTGGTGATTTGCTCTCTGTCCAGCTACATCACTTCCTCTTCCTGCCCTGCTCTGTCACTTCCTGTCTGTCTGTACAGACCTTCATGGTTAATTAGTGTTGGAATTTAAGGCGTGTGCCACCACACCTGGCTGTTTCCAATGTGGCCTTGAACTCACAGAGATCCAGACAGATCGCTGCCTCCCAAGTGATAGGATTAAAGGCGTGTGCTAACATTGCATGACTTTTGTGTTTAGTTAGTTATAATGGCTTGGTTTTTTCCTCTGATCTCCAGGCAAGCTTTATTTATTAAAGCACAAATAAAAATATCACCACATTTCAGCACAAATATCACTCTGCAAGAGCAGTAAGCACTTTTAACCTGAGTCATCTCTCTAACCCCTAAAATTTTAGTTTTAAACTAATCTGAGGTATTAAGTTTGTGGTTTTTTTTTGGTGTTTTGGGGTGTTTTTTGTTGTTGTTGTTTGGTTGGTTTTTTGAGACAGGGTTTCTCTGTGTGGCTTTGCGCCTTTCCTGGAACTCGCTCTGTAGCCCAGGCTGGCCTCGAACTCACAGACATCTGCCTGTCTCTGCCTCCCAAGTGCTGGGATTAAAGGAAGTTTGTGTTCTTAATGAAGCAGCATTCCAACCAAGAAACATCTGAAAGGACCAGACACACTCTTGGTCATTAGCACTGGTTATTCCTGGTGTTAGTTACGGTTATAAGTGTTTCTTTCTCTTGATTTGAGTGGTTTCGGCTTTGGAAAGCTTTTGTTGTTTATTCTTTGTTTCTTTGTTGTTGTTTTGAGACTGAATTTTACCGTGTATCTCCGGCTGGCCTGTAACTTTCTATGTAGATCAGGCTGGTCAGAACTCACAGAGATCCACCTGCCTCTGCCTCAAGAGAGTTGGGTTTAGCTGGGCAGTGGTGGCGCACGCCTTTAATCCCAGCACTCGGAAGGCAGAGGCAGGAGGATCTCTGTGAGTTCAAGGCCAGCCTGGGCTACAGAGTGAGTTCCAGGACAGCCAGAGCTACACAGAGAAACCCTCTCTTCAAAAAACAAAGAGTGTTGGGATTAAAGGGGTGCACCACCATGCCTGGCCTGATGATTTCCTTCTTAGCCACATCTCTTTCTGTTAGATTTTGTCCACACTCCCTCACAGGCCTATTTATCTGGATCACATTTGTTCTAACACATTTAAGAAGCACTTACTAGGAGGTAGCCTGGTGTGGTGGTGAAGTGCCTGAGATCAAACTTGATTCCTCCTTTCACCAGCTCTGTGGCCACAGGTCTTAAACCCTCCATGCCCAGGTTTCGTCATCAGTTAATGGAAAAAATGGTCCCTCTCTCATAGGGATCTGAACCCAGGTAGTGTAATTCTAGGGCGAGAGCAAACTGGCTCCCCACAGTACAGTTATTAGGGGCATAAACTCTGGAGTCACAAAGTCACAACTGTGCCTAGTGAGGCCAAGGAAGAGAGAACATTTAGATTGTGCAAATTTGACCTGCAGAAGCAGAGAGAGGCAGAGAACTGATGGTCAAGACTAGGATGAAATGGCAAAGTCCATTTAGGACACTGAGACTTTTCTGATGCGATTAAAACATTGAATGCATTCGGGAGGTGGCAGTGATGAAGCCAGGAGTCGCTGGAGGCATCGTGTGTGTGTGTGTGTGTGTGTGTGTGTGTGTGTGTGTGTTCCAAACTTCTCCATGCCATGGTACAGAAAGAAAATGGAATCTGCAGTAGATTACAGTAGATAAATGTCCCTGCTTATCATTGCTGGGTAAGACAACTGAGGACGAGAGGAGCCAGGACCTAACTGCTCCCATCCCAAGACGTCAGGGGACTGGATGCGAAGAGAGGAGGGCAGGGAGGCTGGAGTGGGATTCCAGTTTAGATGACTACAGGACAGAGGGCAGGTAGGGAGGAGGTAGAGAACTTAGGAAAGGAAGGCAGGGGCCCAGGGGAGAGACAAGGAGTCTGTCGGGACATACTGAGTCATCTGCCTGCCAGACCTTAGAAGATATTTTGCAACACACTGCCTTGCCGGAGGTCTGGAGGAAGACCTACCATTTCATCTGACTCATCAACCAAAATCTTGGTTTTCTTACCTTAATTAATCATTACCTTTAGAGCTGTTTTCAAGCCCTGTCCCAGTGTCTTTCAGATACATGAGAATGACAGACAGTTTAGGGAACCGCGTCTATTGGTTTGAGGAGAGAGCAGAAGGGTTAGAAGAAGTTGGGGTGATGTTTATCAGACATTTAGAAAAGGTGACAAGAAATGCTTCTGGTGCACGCTTACAGGATCGCAATTTAGCATGGCTGTTACAGGTGGGAAGGACCAGGTGGTGGTGAACACTAGGCTCCTCCGTACTCAGGAAGGTAGGATGATGCAATTGTGCAACACTGAATTGCCAGGATCACCAGGGTCAAGTCGCTAAAAGTGCACAACACTTCTGATTGCCTAGAATGAAGAAAACGTCTTCTTTCCTATGCATTAAAGCAACACCTCATTAACGTTGACTTTCGTTCTCTTGTTACTAGTTCCAATGTGATGGATGACAGGAAGTAGTGTACGAGGAGAGAACATACCTTAAGAGAGGAAATTCTTTCAGAGATCTCAAGAGTTTGATCTACTACCAGCTGTGGTTCTGCCATGTGGAGACTCTACCAACACTTAGATGGTGTTTTCACAAGTGTGCGCTGACTATCCTGTAATTCAACTGCACGGAGGAGCACGACAGCCAAGGCTGGAACGAGCTCACACTGTTGAGCGTTACAGAAGGGTGAGGGCCACTTGCTAATAACTACCATAAAAGGAACAGATGACTAAGAACAGAGAGGAAGTATGACTAAAAAGTCCCTCCGTGTGTGTGTGTGTGTGTGTGTGTGTGTGTGTGTGTGTGTGTGTGTGTGTGTGTGTGTAAGTCCCTGAATAACTAGGCATACCAAATGCGGTCTGTCATAAAATTATTTACTGCTAAATTCTGTACTTAGACACCAAATATAATGTTTGCCCAAGGACTAAAATTTGTATAAATCATTCAACTGCAAAGTGTCAAAAAAATAAGACCATCAATACGCAAAAGTGCTGATCAACCCACACAGGCTGGGCTGGGCTGGGTTAACTCCAGAGGACTCCTTCACTTCAGAAGCAGAGACCACTATGGTTGCACACCAGGGCCCCATGTCACGGAACCTCAAGCACTGGGGAAACCCTGGCTGGGACATGGCAGCCTGCCTTTGGTCCCCAGAGAAGCTCCTACCACAGCTAGACCACACCTATCAAGAGAGACTGAGGTCTGGGGCCACAGCTCAGTCAGAGCTCTTGTTCTTACAACCAAGGCCCAGTCTAGATCCTGGGATCCAAAACTAAACAAGTCCGTGAACAAGCATACCCAAGGCCATGTTCGGAAATGCAGCCTGGCTTATTTGCTTGTTTTGTTTTGTTTTTGTTTTTCAAGACAGGGTTTCCTGTGTAACAGTCCTGGCTGTCCTGGAACTGGCATTATAGACCAGGCTGTGGTCAAACTCACAGAGATCCACCTCATCCACCTCCCATGCTGGGACTAAAGGTGTGTGTGTGTGTGTGTGTGTGTGTGTGTG